TCTTGTAAGAAAGTTCTTGTGTAAATTACAAACATGGTAAGCCAATGCAGTAAACTCCAGTGGACTCATCCCAGGCCTCACACCCTTTCTCCGACCTCCTGCTGCTCCTGGGTGGATGCCTGTCCTTACTGTCCATCCCAGCCCTTCCCCCCAGAATCCTATGCCTCCAAGCCCTACAACTTCCCTGGCCCCGTCCCTTCTCCCTGGCAGCCTTCCAGCATGGGGGCGTTCCCAAACTGACCTGAACAGAACCGAATGAGAGCAGCCTCTGCTGGGCACCAGAATGGCAGTGTCCAGCGGGCAGGGTCTTTGACCCCTCTGTAGGCACTGTGGGTGTGTCTCCTTAGGACACCCCTGTCTACCAGCTCTCACCCCCACCAAACAGGCAGCGTGGTAGAGCTCCCTAACCTCCTGCTGCTTGTGAGGCCTCTGGCAGGCCTCCAGGGGGGCTCAGTATCCCGCTTGTCCTGTCTCAGCCTGGGATCCTGGCCCAGGAGATGACCAACGATAATAGCCACAGGATTAACATAGCAGGCATTGTCTTTCTCTGACTATTGGGTGGGTATTATGTGTTCATCAACTGTCCTAAAAATACCCAGTAAACAGGTGCAGCCTTCACGGCACCAGCCCCCTGGATTCTGGCTGGAGACAGAGGGTAGGGCAGGGGAGAAGGTGAGTTAGTCTCACTGAGTTCCAGGCATGGGATGTGGGGTGCCATTTGGAACCCGGGAAACCTAGATTCCCGGAAACCTACTTGGAGGGGGGTACAGAGTGTCCACAGACCCTCAGACTTCCCTGAGCATAAAGGTGGATGCTACAGCTACCACCACCTCAGCTCAGCCCCAGGAACACTCCCTGGAGTTGGTCTGCAGCGCTGTTGATGTCACCCCCAAGCCCAGGTATCCTCCTAGGGCACGTGTACCAGAGCCACACGAGAGCCCCCAAATCCAGTCTCTAGCCCGCTTAGGCTTTTGGAACATGGGCTCAGGGGTCTGATTTCCACATTTCCTTGTGAGAGAGATATAGGTCCGAGAGACAGTTCCCCTGCCCCCAGCCCCTGCTGGGCCCCCCAGGCCTCCCGGTGCCCCCCACCAGAGCCCTAGGCTCTGCCCTGGGCCCATCGCTGCTCAGTGCCTCATCTGGTCTGGCTGCTCATTCTCTCCCTTCTTTGGCTTGCGACCCCCTAGGTGGGTGCTGGTTTGACTCGGTCGGTGGCCTCTGTGTGCACAGGATCTGTGTGTCCCCCTGAGCCTGGACACACGTGTCTTCAGGGCGTGCCTGCCATGTGTTCCGCAGCGTGTGTCTGCTCTCGTGTGTGGGGGTGGGGGGGGTGGGAGGGGGTGGGAGGAGAGGCAGCGGGTCTGTTCTATTTTTACTGGCCAGTTGCTGTGGCCCATAGTTTTCATAGCCTCCCCTCTGCCTGCCCCTCACAGTCTGCGGTCCACAGCGAGACACAGGCCAGCCCAGTTCACAGAGCCTGAACGAGGTAAGTGTCTGCAGCCCAGAACTTTGGATCTAGGTCGAGCCCTGAGAGAGAAACTGGGGCTTGAGTTAGAGGAGACCACCAGGGCGTGGAGATGGAAGCAAACCTGTATCATCCATGGCCTGTGCATTTGGGTTGGCTGAGGGAACAGTCCTAAGATGCTCCCACAGTGTTTTATCCTGTGGAATGACCTCTCTCCTGCAAAACTGTTATTGGAGGTAAAATCCCCACTGCCCATTTTCAGGCTAAGAACCAGGAGCAGAATTTCCCACCGGGCTGCTCAAGGGGCCCCAGGGTAGAGCCTGGTGGATTGTGTTATACAACAGGCTACCCAGCAGGTCCCGGTGGGAGAGGGCGCCTAGAGGAAGCGGGGGGGGGGGGGGGGGGCGGGGGGAATCAGAGGGGGGGGGGGGGGAAGCTACATTTGGAAGTTTAGGAAGAGCCTGGCAGGCAATTAAAGTGGGCAATGGCTGTAGCAGAGGACAAAGAAGGTACTCTGGTGTGTGGGACTTGGGGGGAGGCTAATAGACCAGACCCCAGCCCCTGCAGACTGAGGAAACCACCTTGCCTCTTTGTTCTTGGTCTCTGAGGGACGTGCTCGGCTCCCCTTGCACGCCCATCTGTATAGCTGGGCGAGAGCGGGTGAGAGCAGACTGCCAACCCTGCTGTCCCCCGCTCCTGGCTCTGAGGAGTAGAAAGTAGTTGGTGGGGGGCCCCTAGAGGGAAGGCTGACGGTGACAGCATTTGGTGTTGGGGCACGAGAGTCTCTGAATGCAAAACAGAGGGGACCTTCTATATTGGGAGCCGTGGCTGGGGGTGGGGTGGGGGCTAAAGGCAGCACCAGACACTGGGTTTGGGAGATTGTCCCACAGTGGTTCTGAGGTTAGGCTTTCCTGCTAAGAGCTCAAGATGGGGGTGTGGGGGGTGTAGGAGTACAATGCTTTCTAATGATCAGTCAAAGAGGACTGGGATGCCCTTGAACTGGGGGTCCAAGGTCAGGGAGTGCGGAACAGAGGGAAGAACATGAGCCTAACCAGAAATTTGTGTCCCTGATTATCAGGTGTGCAAAAAGATCAGTTCCTGTCCCTATAGACAGACAGACAGACACACACACACACACACACACACACACACACACTCAATTACACACAGACGCTCATACGCTCAGCCTCAGTCTCCTAGTCTAGTTGATATTCCTGGTCCACCCTGCGGGGCCTCAGGGAAAAGAAAGCCTAGCTCTGAGTCAACCCCTGGCCATCCTTCACTCCCTCCCTCCAGGGGTGGATTTTCTAATTATCTCCTCACTTGCTACTTGTGGGGAGATGGAATGCCGGCCCTCCAACCTCACATTTGCTGCTATCTGCATCCTGACTTCTTATCAGGTTTCTGCTTGTCTTCCACAGGACCTGTCAAGGGGTCCCATCTGGTGGGTATCAGAGCACAGGCTGGGGACCCCTGGGCCTGGCATTTGTCAGGGGGCCAAGCTGGGGGGCAGGCCCTGCAGCTTGGCATGAGGCTGAACCTGGCCTGGGCCAGTAGGGCCCCATGCTGGTGACAGTGGGCTCTCTCAGGGAGGCGTGACCATGGCCAAATGCCCACCAAGGGTGAGGCACATCCCCACTCAGCTGAGACCTGCTGCCCCCTGGGGACTGGCGTTATGGCCAGGCAGTGATGACAGACAGACGGACCTGGAGGTGTTTCTTCACCAGCTAGTGTTTCTCTTTGGATTGCCTTGCTAGTCTTCCGAGGAGTGGAGCCCTCAGAATAAACAGCTGGTGATAAAATCTAATTTCAGCCAAATATCTGGGGAATTTATGGATTGGATCCTACCTCTCCCACTGCGCCCCGGGGTGACAGCTGAGACTCTGGGGTCACACTCCCTTTCCCCCTCCTCCGCCCCAGGCCTCACCCTCCCTAGGTGGCAGAGGCAGAGGTGGGAGGCCCAGAGGGCTTTCTGACAGTGGGGGGAGATTCAGGTCAGGTGGCTGAGCCCCACTCATGGGCTGGGGGAGGAGGCTCCACGGGCGCACAGGGAAAGGAGAGAATTAAGGCAGAGGCAGGAGGTGGCTCTGGAATGAAATGGCTGGTAGCCACTTTACAATCGTCCTTTAGATTTTGCCCTCCCCTGTACCAAACCAGGTTCCTGGGCCAAATTCAAGCTCCTGATCCTGTGCTCCATGCCCCCCACTCCCACCGACATACCCACAGCCCAGCTCCGGATTCCCGTCCTGCCTCGCACGCTTGCCCCCACCAGAGTTGTCCTTCTTCCCCTGGGCTTTTGCACAATCCCCACCCTCTATTAGAATGCTCTTTGTCCAGGCCCAGGCAAGATGGTGAGTTGGATCTGGCTTTGGAGTATCCCCCTGTGCCGCCTCAAGGACCCCCTTCTTGGCCTGGGTCCCCCAGCTGTCGGGACTTAGAGGGAGCCCCAGGACAACCCAGTCAGGGGACTTCAAACTGTGCTCCACAGCCCGGGGTCCTCACAGAGGGCCACGGGCTTCTACGTACCCCCTTCAGCCTGTGCCGTTTGCTCGGATTGCTTGAATTTGTTTTGCTTCCAAGTAAAATTTGGTTTGAACAAAGGGTTTAAGAGCTTTTTTAAGTGGACGACAATTTATCTCACCTCGATTTTTGCAGAGAAGAAAACTGGCCTGGGGAGGGTCAGGATGAAGATGAGAGTAGAAGGCAGGATTTGCCTTACCTGCTGGCTTAAGCCCCTCCATAGAGGGCCTCCTCCCTGCTCCACCCCAGGGCTGCCCCTCACACTGCCGTCTGTGTGAACGGCACCCCTGGCACAAGGACATGGCCTCGCATGGGAATAGCGCCCCCTGGAGTTGTGCCATATGGCAGTTACCTGCGTTTCATCTTTGCTCTGTGCCACTCCGCTTTCAGATTTTCCTCTCTCTGAGAACTTCACCCTTGTCCACAGGAGAGACTCTAAACTCAGCATGTTGTGGACGGCCCCATGACCTCACTTTTTCAAATAGATTTCTATGGATTCCATTCTGTTCCCCATGAGGGTTGGCAAACTTTGCTGGAAAGGGCTTGATAGTAAATGTTTTAGGCTTTGCAGGTCACATAACATTCTGTTGCATATTCCTTATTTTACAACGCTTTAAGCAACAAAAGGCGGGGGGTGGGGGCGGGTGGGGGGGGCAGATTTGGCCTGGGGCCTGTAGTTTGCAGATCCCCACCCTACATACCTGTCCAATAGAGCCACTTAACAGTTCTTATATTGTTTCTTTGCTTTTCTAAGATTTCTCTCTCTTGTGAGCGAATGAGTGAATGAATGAATGAGTGAATAAATGAAAAAAAGAGAGTATCAATGCACAAATATTTATCCCTTCCCGACCTGTTGGAATCCATTCTGTCTGATTTCTTCTTCCTGTTGTCCGGCTCTCCCAGGCTGGGTGGCTGACACAGTCCCAGGGCCCAGCAGGGTTGGGAGGCAGGAGTTACAGCTTTTCCACATTGATGGTTGCTTTGTACCTCCAGGTGCTGCCCCCCGACCACCACCATGCCTGAAGTGTGAGTAGCCCCATCCCTATCTCGGGTTTGGAGGAAGCCAGGCCCTTTGCTGCAGATTTCAAGCCCGTAGGGGAGGCACCATCTGTCCAAACCCTGAAGCAACTTCCCAGGAGAACAGATTTTAACAGAAGGAACAATCCTGAGTACCTAGGTCCCCTGTGCCACCACGTGTCCTCCTAGTCTTTGAGCAGAACCCATGCTCCAGGCTGCCTAGGGAAGACCTTTGTGGCCTCTTACAGAGTTTTTCTCTGCGCAGGCCAGATGAATTGCGTGTGCCAGGCCACGGTTCTACTCTGACCCAACAGATGAACAAAGCTTTGGGAACTTGCCCACAAGGCCAGGGACGGGAGCTTTCCCATGCTGGAACCCTATGTTGAGGCTTCCTGGAATCTCCAGCACTCTTCCCCAACTTACAATGGCTAGCATCTCCCAGCCAGAACCTCCAGTAGCCCAGAGGGCCACTGGAGTTTTATTCTGTTCTGCTGGAACCCTTGAGCTGGTCCCCCTGCCTAATGCCTGGTGTCCTTCTGGTGTGTGGTTGTCACCACACCGCCCCTGCCCGGGCTCATCCACATGGTCCCGCTGTTGCATACGTCATATGAATTGTTCACACTTTGTCTTTTGCTCTCTCCTCTTGTCTTTCCTGTGGTGGATGCCTGAAGCGAGGTAAGTGGGATGTGGGGTATTTCACCCATTCTTGCTCACTTGACTAGCCCTGAGGGACCGTCCTGTTTTTTTGCAGAGTCAGTCCAGTAACAAGGGATCATCATTGGGTTATTCTACCCCTTCCCAATGACCAAACATTGAGAGAGGAGCAAAGAGGTGTCCTTACAAATCCCCTCAGGTTTTAGATAACTCTGACCCTGAAACAGTACTGAGAACACAGCCTGTATCCAGTGCAGGGTTAGAAACTGCAGGGATCGGGCTCTGAACTGACAATGGTGGGAATTAACAGCACCGATGGAGGGGACATTTGGTGCGGAGATTCTCAGAATCACGTACACCATTTTTCAATAGCTATATGAATTTCTCAGTTTTGCTGAGGCTCATATTAAAGTGAGCTGCCACTGATCGATGGTCAGACGAGATGGCCTAGAAACTCACCAGGTGGTGGGGAAACAACATTGCAAAGAAACATTTGCCATGGGTACACGACAGGGTGTAAACCGTGAGTGGTAATGACCAGAGCAACAGGCCATTTCTCCCACAGGCACGCTAACCTGAAATGTAGCCCAGCCCTCGCTTTAGGAGAGGAAAGGACAGACAAACCCTGCTGAACAGTCAGATTAGAGGTCACACATTCCATCCATAAAATATGAAGCCCATTTTCTCCCTTAAAGCCTGCTCACTTCTGCTCTCCCAGCACACAGCACAGCACCAGTAGATAGCTGCTCTCTGGCAGCAACCAGAATCGACAACCTATGGTCAAGAAGAGATACAAGTGCTCAGAAGGCCTCACAGCCTCATTAGTTAGAGGTTGAACAGCCCTCCTTACTGTCACCTCCCCTGGAGTGGGGGGGATGCTGTCGCAAGCTAAGACTTGTTAGAACATACCTAGTTGGCAAGAATATATCAAGTATTTTTAATAAGAAGAGAAAACAATGTTTTTATACCTGAGAAAGATTAATATGGATGGTGTTGACATTAAAAAAAGTTGTGATGTCTAAAAAGATACACTTCTTGATGTATGAAATTCGCAGCTTGTTTCTGGACACAACAGATCATCAAGGTATTGGTACCTTACTATCCAGAGTGCTAAGCAGGTACATCTGTTTCATGCTTTTCGGAGGATTTGCACGTCCATGATGTCATTCTGTCTGTAATCATTCTGTGAACTGAGGAAGGTGGGTCTCAGCATCCTTATTTATAGGTGAGGTCACATGACCCGGAGGTGCCCGGAGAGGTCACATGACCCACACAGGACCCCACCAGCACTAGAACCAGGATTGAAAGTGAGGGCTTCAGCCTCTAGGTCAGGGTCAAGGTTGCTGACTACAGCATTCCTTGAATTTGAGGGGTTGAATCACAAGGATGAGGGGCCTTTTAAGGGACCCTATGGCGAGGAGCCTGGGTAGTCACGGTGAACCTGGTGGGCGCGCACGCCGGCCTAGACCGGATTTTTCCAGTTTGGCCACCTCTGTCTCACCACCTGTCTCTCCCCTTCTCACCCTCAGAGAAAGCCCAAGATCACGGCCTCCCGCAAACTCTTGCTGAAGGTGAAGCTTTGTGCTGGCTCTGGGGGGACATCCAGTGGGAGACAGAGGGGATGTGGTGCAGACTCTGCAGGGGTGTGGAGGGTCGGGGGAGGGTGAAGACGAAGGAGGCCAAAGTGAGGATGATGAGGAGGGAGGCCGGCAACTGCCTGGAGCCAGGTGGTCAGCGAGTGGAAACCTGAAACTAGGGAGGACCTGGCTCCTGCCCGGGTTCTTGAGGGGAGGCAGTGACCAGCTTCAGGGTGGTAAACCACTGGTGGCAGCCAGAGGGCCTTGCTTTATTTTGGCCAGAGTTTCTCTCTTTGGAGCTCTGTGGGCCAAAACACGCCAGAAGTGGGTACAAGGAAGACTGTGAGGGGAAAACAGCTCCAGGGTCCGAGAGATGCTGTGTGTGGTGGCTCAGTGTGCGTTCTTCCCTGGCCCTGGCTGTAGGCAGCACACACATCTGCAGGCCTCGGGACCGGCTCATCCACACGCTCCCAGGGGTGCCTGGTCGGGGCGCTGGCCAGTACGAGAGGGTGCGTTGCTTGTAGAGCCAGAGGCAAGAGCCGGTTCCAGCCTGGGGTCCTCCTCCCCTCGTGCCCTGATGCTGGGTGGGGAACACAAGAGCCCTGGGCCCCTGGCTCAGCAGGCTCTGTCCTGTCCAGAGCCTGATGCTGGCCAAGGCCAAGGAGTGCTGGGAGCAGGAGCATGAGGAACGGGAGGCAGAGAAGGCACGCTACTTGACCGAGCGCATCCCCACGCTGCAGACCCGAGGCCTGTCCCTCAGTGCCCTGCAGGTGAGTCTGCGGGGCTGACCCCAGGGCCTGGGTGGCAGGAGCCTGCACTAACAGCGGAGCTCCGGGCTCCGTTCCTTTACAAGGGGCTCTTCCCTTACACGGTCCCATGTCACCGCATAGGCCCCTGGGAGGTGGTGCTGGTAGATTCCATTTCACAAGTGCAGGGAGGGAGCCTCAGGACCTGTCTGTCCTTCCCCTACAAATAGGTTTTTAATGTTTGAAAGACACTGATAACTGTTTATTTTATTTATTTTTTTTAAAAAAGATTTTACTTATTTATTTGACAGAGAGACACAGCGAGAGAGGAAACACAAGCAGGGGGAGTGGGAGAGGGAGAAGCAGACTTCCCGCTGAGCAGGGAGCCCGATGTGGGGCTCGATCCCAGGACCCCGGGATCATGACCTGACCCGAAGGCAGATGCTAAACGACTGAACCACCCGGGTGCCCCCTGATAACTGTTTAAATGCCAGCGACTGCAGAGAAAAGAGACTGGAAAGAAATACACCAAAATGTCACCAGGGGTCACCTCCCACTGGTGGCATCACTTGTTATTTGTAGTTTATTCTTTTTGTTTAATACCTAGCTTTCACATTTTCTACAATTCGCTTATATTATTTTTATTGTAAGAAAACCTTTTAAAGAAAACAATGACATTCCGAAAGGAAAACAAAGGGCTTATGCAGGGAGCTCTCAGCAGCCCATGAACCTCAGAGAGAAGGGGCATATCAGCCCCTTTCCGGAATGCAGGTTTTGCAAAGGCACTGGGCAAGGAGGCGGGAAAGGGAGGCTGCGGTCCAGATGACTCCTCTCCCCTCTTTGCTGTTCCTGCCTGATTAACCTTGCTTCCCCCAGGACCTGTGCCGGGACCTGCACGCCAAGGTGGAGGTGGTGGATGAGGAGAGATATGACATTGAGGCCAAATGCCTCCACAACACCAGGGAGGTGAGCTTGCAGGAGGGGAGGGCACGGCTAGCAGAGGCTGGGTGCATGGTGGGGCGATGCGGGGGGTGGGGGGAGGCTGGCGGCGGGACGTGGGCACTGGTGCTGCAGCTGCGGACTAGGTCCCCCTCCTTCTGCAGGGTTTGGCAAGTGGCCACTTGGGGAGCTCTGGTCCCTCCACTCCAGCCCCATAGGGCTGGAGATGGGCAGAGAGAGGATAATCACACAGATGAAAAGCACAGACTTCCTCCCAGCCTGCCACAGGGGCTCTTCACCTCTTTGTTCACCCACACAAACAGTCACATGCTAGTTAATAATATCTTCCCTTTGTGAATGGCTTTCATGTGCATTGCATCCTTTGATCCTCCCTACACGCGTGTGGATAAAGGAGGTGCTATTATCTGCACCTTACAAAGGAGGACGCTGAGGTTCAGAGAGGCTGAGAAATTTGGTCCAGGTCACACAGTGGTGGTTATGGGAGCAGGGCTGGTCGCTGCCCCCCACTGCGGTGCTCAGCGCTCCCTCGGCGAGGGGTGTGGGAGCGGGAGCTCCGTGCTGACCCTGCTCCCATGTGGTGGGGCAGAACTCGGAGGGCAGAACCCCTGCTGGTCTCGTGGGCTGCTCCTGGGTGCTTGTTCAAGCAGGGAGGAGGGGAGGGCGCGGGATCAGAGACCACTCTGTTCCTTCTCATTTCTCCCCAGCAGGAATGATGATTTGTGGCATCACAAATCTCCCCAGAATTCCCTCCAGAGATAGCACCCTAGAAACTTCATCCCCCCCACTGGACTTAGGCTGTGCTCTCAATGAACTGCTTTGAAGGCTTACCGGGAGGGACTAGTTAGAAGCAGGAATGGGGCCCCAGGAATAGGAGGAAGCAGCCCCACACTCCAAAGAGGGCTTTCAAACCAGACTTGTGCCGAGTTTGGTGGGGCTGCCCCATCTAGTCACATAACCATGACAAAGATGGCTAATGGGCTTTATCTGTCCATTTACTCATTCATTTGTTTATCAACAAGCACGTTTGTGGCTATTCTGAAAGTGATGGGGGGGCGCCTGAGTGTCCCAGAGGGTCTGGCCTGGAAGCTGGAGAATGTGGGGTGTAGCTCTGGCTGGAACCCTAGAAGTCTGAGATCCTCAGGAAGGGTGCTCTGGGGGTGCTCCCTCTCCCGTGAACCCCTGCTCCTTCTCACCTGCAGATTAAGGACCTGAAGCTGAAGGTGCTGGACCTCCGTGGGAAATTCAAGCGTCCACCACTGCGTCGGGTCCGGGTCTCAGCTGACGCCATGCTCCGGGCTCTACTGGGCTCCAAGCACAAGGTGTCTATGGATCTGCGGGCCAACCTGAAGTCAGTGAAGAAGGAAGACACAGAGAAGGTGAGAACCCCTCTTCTCAGAACCTTTCACCCCCTGTCCTATCACCTGTCACTCTGTCACATAGCCTCAGGCAGGAGCTCCTGTTGGAGGCCAGACAGACTGCTAGAACATTCTAGAACCCTCTGGGAGACCAGTGATGAAGTCTTGTGATTCTGTTTTGGGAGAAAGACTTGCTCCCTTCCCTCAGGCTGCTCTCTATCTGAGAAGGAAACCGGGACCTAGACGAAGCCAAACCAAGCAATAAAGTAGAAACTGCACCCAGTGTGAAGAGAATGTAGAGTTGGGGTGACCAGGGAGATAGTGCCTTCTGTCACTACTGGGGAAAAAAAGACAGCAGGTCATTGTGGTCATACAACACACGAGCACAGACATTAGAGAACTGAGTTCAATCACTCATTCAGCAACAAATCATTCAAAGCTGATTGAACTCAATATATGTGCTCAGAATGGATGGGCTCTAGAAGGAACATGAATGAAAGACATGGTCTCTGGCCCAAAGAACTTCATAAAGAGAAGAGATGGCAGGTAGTATGCTGGTAAAATGGAAAATGAGCCAGTTTAGGGAGGAGGAAGGCTTCTTAGAAGAGGTGGCCTTGAGCACCAGACCAGGAGGTTGGCGTGGGTCTGGAGGCAAGGCTGGGCTGTGGTTCAGTGGGGTGGGAACTGACCCCGGCATCCCGCTGCGATCATCCAGAACTCCCAGCTGACACAGCTTCCTTCTTCTAGTGGAGCCTTAGCTTGTCCTGTGTCTACCCCAAATGTGTCCTTGGGCCTCCCCAGTTGGGCAGGGGTGTTGGGATTTCCTCTTTTCGAAGAGGCTGACTTTCCCCTCACCTAGTTTCTCTTGTGCCTGGAGGGCCCCCAGCTTCCCTCCAGCCTGCTCGGTCTCTGACGTGTGTGTGTGTGTGTGTGTGTGTGTGTGTGTGTGTGTGTGTGTGTGGCCCCCCCCATAGGAACGGCCCGTGGAGGTGGGTGACTGGAGGAAGAATGTGGAGGCCATGTCTGGGATGGAAGGCCGGAAGAAGATGTTTGATGCCGCCAAGTCTCCGACCTCACAGTAGAGGTACCTAGAGACCAGCTCCCTTCTTCTGGGGCCTACCAGATTCTAACAGATAATAGGGACTCCAGGACGATGGCCGGTGGGTCGGGCCCAGTGTGGTGCATTGATGGGGGTCACCTCTGGTCAGTTCGGTCCTGGCTCCAGCCCCTGGAGACCTTGGGCGCATCATTTCTGCTTTGGGACAGTTTTTGTTCCCCTCGTCTATAAAACCGGAGGTTGTATCAGATCAGTGTTCTCCAAGTGTGGTCCTCGGTCCAGGAGTATCAGTTCTACCAGCAAATGATCTGGCTTCACCTGTGAGCCGTTGAATAGGCAACTGGGGGTGGGGGGTGGGCAGGGACAGCCCTCTGGGTGATTCTCCTGCAAGACCTTGAGAGCCACTGGGTTGGATGATCCCCGAAGCCCTCTAGCTCTGACTCTCTCAAAGTCTAAGCTTTTAAAAACACCTCCTGGTAAAGTACCCCAAACTCAGAGTCCCTGGTCCCAGGAAGTTCCATTCAGAGAAGACAAGACCACCCCCTCTCTGAGGAAATTGCTGGAGAAAGCAGCAAAGTGAGGCTGCATAAAAGCCCCACGGGAGTGCTGAGGTGCTGTGCAACAGGGCAGAGGTCTGGCGCACAACCCTGGCACAGGAGGCTTTCCGGAGGCCTGAGCTCTCCAAAGAGGAGATGGGCAAGGAGATACAGGAGGAGATACAGGAGAAGCGCGCGTTTTAAGGCTGAGGCGGGACTTAACCAGCCGTGGTGGAGGAGCCACAGTGTGGAGAGCCGTGGCAGGGGTTCCGAAAGGGGAGGGGAGGGAGCCTGGGCCCTGGGCTGAGAGGCTGAGGCTTCATAGGAGCCCCTCTGGATGATGGTCCAGCCGGGATGGGGGGGGGGTGGGTGCCAGGGGTGAGAAGTCCCAGAACTGTATGTCCCACGGGGAAATCAGTAAGATGGCTTCTGCCTCTTTGTCCCTCCAGGCAGGCTTGCTGCGCTGTGCTCTGGGCTTCCGCTTGCGCTCCTCTCTCCGACCTGGCTCACCTACCTCTCTGCATCCTACCCTGCCTTTCTGGAGCCTCCCATCCTGTTTCCACTCTCCCCTCCAGCCTGAGTGCTCTCCTCTGGAACTGGGATTAAACAGACACCCAAGAGGACAAACAGCAGTGTCTGAAGACCTCATCCTGGCAGGGTGGCGACCCCGGCCAGCCGCGGTGTAGCCAAGCTGAGGAGGAAGAGGTGTGAGAACACCTTCCCTCTGGCCCCTTGCCACATCCCTCCACTGCTTCTGTGACATGTAGAGTGCCCCCAGGTATCACAGCTTCTCCATTAAAAACCAGGGTCCTGGTCATTTCTGTAGCTCTGGCTGTGAGTGCTCAGAAGAAGCAGGGAGTCTAGAGAGATGGATGTGCTGGGCTCCAGGCAGGAGCTCAGAGTTGGAATGGAGGTCTAAGGAATTGGCAGCTGTCTGCTAAGGCCCCTCGGGGACCCATTCTGCTCAGTCCCAGTGGCATCACACCGCACCCCGTCACCACCCAAGATGCTCAGATTACCGAAGCCCTAACCTCTGCAATAGTCCCAGCCCCTCCTAAGGACTCCAGCCATCAAGATGGGCCTCTCCATTCGAGCCCCTTGTCCGGCTTGATTTCACAGCTCCCTTTCTCTGCAAACCTGGATCACCTCTCCCTGGCAGCTGCTGGATGTTCCTGACTATTCTGGACTGAGACGTTAGGGTGCTTTCAGGCCCTCACCTGGTCCTACAGGCACAGGGCGGGAGTTAATCCGCACCCCGGCCCAGCCGGGAGGGACACCTTGCAGTTCTATGTCTTGCCACTAGGTGGCTCCTTTCCCCATCGCAGCCCCGGGGGCTCTCCCGTCCTGATCCCCTGCTCTCTCCACCCTCATGCACCCTCCTCCCAGTCATTTTCTCTTCACACTCCTGGACTGGTCATATCCTCCAGGTCACATCCTCCAGATCCACTGTCCTCGAGGTGGGCCGGCCGGTGATCCGTCCTCTAGGTCTGGTTCTTCCTCCATCCCACTGATACCTGGACCCAAAGCGTGGTGAGGGGTGCGAGCCTGCTGGAGTGGGATGGGGGAGGGGCAGCCCCCCTCCCTGCCCTCCCACATACCGAGGAGAGTGGCTTCTCTGGAGCAGAGACCAAAGTTCTGGGAAGAGCAGAGCCTGGCTTTTCAGGGCAGTGTCCTGGTGACTCCTGAACTAAGCCTACAAAACCGGGGCCCTTTGGCTTTTAACCACCTCAGCACTGGTCCCAAGAGAGGCTGAGCTGCCCGAGGAGTCCCCCTTCCTCCCGCCCTGTGACTCCCTGTTCTGCCCTCTGCTCCCAGTGTGTTATTTGCCATAAATACGAGAAGCTGGGTACAAAGGGCAGTGCCAGCTACTCTCTGGGGCAGGGTCTAACAGCCAGGGCTGCTCAGCCCGTCAGCCCCTGCAGGGACCAGCAACTTGGGATGGGGTAGGCGAGGAGGTCTCTGCCCGGGGTTCTTGCTACAAACAGCCCAGTAGGCAGAAGGGCAGTTGTGTGCAAAGAGAACAACTCCTACCATACACAGAAACCCTTAGGCACAAACACACCCAGTCTCTCTCATATACACACATGCAAAGCTGGAGAACCTGATGGAGCCAGCCCGCGCCACAGAGGATGGGGTTGGGCTTCATGCCCGGGCAGCCACAGAAACCCACCCTTCCCTGCCTCACAGAGCTCCTCCCGGCTGGCCTGGGTCCAAAGCATGGTCTCCTTGCTCTGTCTCTGCTCAGCCCTTTGAGAGAGCCTGGCCCCAAGTTCCAGAGCCAAATCTCAGTTCCGCCAGTCGACTACTAGCCTGGGGCCCTGGCAGACTGGGGTCTCCACCCTGCCCTACAAAAGCCGGAGACCAGCCCCAGGCCTGACTCAAAACAAACACCAGGGTGCAGAGAGTCCGTGGGGCCAACTCAACACACCCAAGGCGAGGGCCCTGTGGGAAAGTGCCATGGCCCGGCCTGTGTGGAGGCTTTCTGGAGGTCATCATCTGGTCCCTCTTGCTTCCCAGCAGGGCTTGAACCAATCCATCTCTGGGAGGGTGGAGCAAGGGCAAAGGGGCAAAATGCTTCTTGAGAGTGAAGACCATGGGAACTGAGTGGGTGAGGGAGGAGGTGAGCTCTGTCACAGGGCTGCTTTGGGGGGAAGAGCAACCTTTGGGAGGGGGCTGCTAGTAGAGTTGTAGCTGTGAACAGGGAGGCATGGTATCTGGAGAGCCATGAGTCTACTCTCTCTCACCATGGAGGGCCAACACCGGACCGGATACAGGGGGAGCTGAGCTGGGAGCTGGGCCTCCCACTAAAAACACCTTCCACTTGCATCACATTGAGTATATGCCGGGCGCCACTCTACACATCTTCACATTTCACCTTCACAATGCCCCTCTGAGAAAGGGGCACAGAGAAGTTAACACCTGCCCTCCCATGGTCACACAGCAAGTGAATGGAGGGGCCGAGATTCGACCCAGGCAGTCAGAGTCCATAGGCTTAGTCACTATTTTAGTAATAATAAAAATGATGCTCAATGCTTTATCAGAATTATATCATTACATTCTCACAAAATGCTAAGAAGTAGATACTCTTTTTTTTTTAAAGATGTATTTATTTATTTGAGAGAGAGCGAGAGCAGGAGGAGGGGCAGAGGGAGAAGGGGAAAGAGAGAGAGAGATAATCCCCAGGGAGACTCCTAGCTCAGTGCAGAGCCCAACTGGGGGGGGGGG